AATTCTGCTCTGACACAGAAATTATTGAGATCTTCCATGGAACTGTCAAAAGTGTATTTGATATACTACCTAGTGCCCCCCAGTGAACCTTTTTTCATTGACTATTATCAAATTCAAACATTGATGCTTCTCTCTCGTACAAGCATTTATTACATTTTATTATTCATTTGTATCTCACTTTTATTATTTTTTTCAAATAATTCAAGATGGCAAATATATCCAACACCTTCCTTCTCCTATTGTCTCCACAAAAGAGAGGGGTCCAAAGTCATCCAGACGGCTTTCATGGCTAAGGTGGGACTTGAACTCATGGTATCCCAGTTTCTAGCCTGGTACCTTAAACACTAGACCAATCTGGTTTAATTAAAGAAATAATTCTGGATATTCTTTGATTAACCTGATAATCAAATAATCACAACATGTCAGATTTTCTGTTTTAGAAGAAAACCGCCATAATAATTTCCATAATCCAAAACAATATTCTGTTTTGGTTATTTCCTTTAATTCTAGTTATGTCTAATAAACAAAAGAATTGACACTACAGCAATGAAGAAATATAATGTAATTCTGGATCCCAACTGAGCAAAGATGAAAAATCAAAACAAAATACTAAGCAATCCCCAAAAAATATAAAAAAAGATTCTGAGATCACTAAGCATCTCAGAAATATCTAAGGGAATTACATGTAATCTCTACAATAGGCACTCATCCAATAAAGTGTATTCAAAACATATATAACGATCAAATTCTTCTATTGTCAGACTAAGATTCATATTCATAGGAGAAAGTTTTCTAAATTTTGTTTGCCTTCTCTTTTTCTCTATAGCATTCTGCATCAATTCCTGTGAAAGGAGCAGGAAACTTGCAAATACAGTTTGTAAGCAATATAATTGCAAACAATATGATTTTAAGAAATATATATTAGAAGTAATGGAAATAATACTTCCTACATGAAACAGCAATTGAACATTTACTCAGCATCTCTTTCTACATCAGTAATTATGCCCCAAATTGGTATAATGCGCATCTCTATAACAGTTTATGCTCAAGGCAGAAAACATGCTTTCCATTATAACCATGAGATAAAACCATTTAACCTTCCTCTTTAAAGCCTCCAATTTAAAAATATCAGAAATATGAAATTCAAAATTTAGATAATATAGCTGTAGCTGTTAACTTCAAGATTATATTTTTATATTTATATACTAAAGGCCTGAATCAGTATCTTGAGAAGTCAATGGAAACATACTTATTACTTAAAGTATCTATTTTACTAAAGTATCTATTTCTTTCAGAATCAGGGCACCAAGTAATCCTATACAAATTGCAACACACAATTTATAAGCTGTTTATTCACATTTTTTACTGAGATGTACGTAAACATCAATATCAAAACCAAGTGACACCTTATATGTGATCTGCTTTAGTTGGAAAACTTTCTTAAATCTGTCAGGCAAATTTCTAAGAAACACAATTTTATTGAAACATTGCACAACAAAAATTAGGATGCTATTGATACTTTTTATCACAATCCAACTCATAAACAAACAAGCTATGTTCAAACATATTGGTAAGAGGTTTTTATAAGCATGTAACTGATTTTCATGTACATGGTCTTCATAAGCACAGAAAAGATTTCTTCACAATTTCTTAAATTAATGAAGTCAGCCCAAGCAAATAACATGTACTGTTTTCTGTACTGGTTTAGTACTGTTTTGAAGAAGCATGTAATAGAGAGAAAAAAGCAATTCTGAAATCCTGTTTTAAAATGCTTAGTGGAAAATTTACTTTTAAAAATAATAGTTCATTCTTATTCAAAATAGAAATTAAACCATTTAAGATTTTCACTATCACACTGTGGCAATGGACAAAATGTACACTATATTCAATATTTTGTAATAAGAAGGGTGATTTAGAGCGATTCTCAGCTTTCAAACACATTAATATAGTTTTCTCATCGTACACATGTTGTACTCTGACAATAAAGGTAATTAATTCTGATCTGTTAACTATAGATTGTAACAACACCTAGTAGTAAGCCTTTAACAAATTCTACAGAAGTAACTTCCAGCATAACATTTGATAAAATACCTTTATTTTCATGAGTTATAAAGATGATTTTAGGGACAAATTTAATCTGACTTTGAAAAGTTGAAGTTGGCTCAAGTTGAAGTTAACACTTGATAATTATTTGCATGTGTCAATGTAGTATAGTTGCTTTCTTTTTAAAAAAACAAACTTTATTAATTATAGAACTAAAATATCAAACAAACACATACACAACACACAGAAAAAAAAGAAAAAGGAAAAAAGAAAATGATTAAAAATATCAATTCTACTATCGACAGTCTATGGTTCCTTGTTTATTATCAATATTGGTGATATATTTACAAATACATCTTACTGCGAATATATAATTACTACCTCTTTTACATTTTACGTTGTTTACTAATATATTTTCTATTTTTGTTCTATCCAGTCATACCAGCATTCCCAGCTTCTATAATATTCTGATGTTTCTTTTTCCTTAAGTGCTAACTTATCCATCTCTGCACAGGCTGTTATCTTCTTGTCCCTGCTTTCTTATGAGACTTTTTTCAATATACTAGTCTTTGGTATATCCTGAGATTTTCCAATGGTATTGCATCCTACTACCAACCTAGTTTGACCCTGCTCAGCTTTTCAAGATCAACCAAGAGCTGTTAGGTGCTGCCATCTACTGTAAGCTTAATCAGACTTTTCTGTAGTAAATTCCATTTATTTCACTAGGACATGAATATCTAAGTAAACAAATTTAGACAATAGGCTAAATTGGGAGTGAATTGAGCTGGGAGCAATAGCTACTGTCCCCACTGCCATTATAGATTTAATTTTATATACCCATATCTGTTCATTTTATATTAAACCATTTTATAAAGTTTGTCATATGATCCTATTTTGATCACAATTTATAGTCCATACTGACCTGAATTGTCAAAAACATTTTCAAAAATTTAGACTGTCATTTGCATAATTAGTACTTTCAGGTAGAAAAAGTGAATGAAGCCAAATATGCATATGTAAATATCTATTCATACAATGAGATTTCTCTTTTTCCATGCTTCTCAAAGTTTATTTTTGAGGGTTTCTTCTCAATGTATCATACAGTAGTAGGTTTTGAGAATCTGCAGTGGGCTACAAGGACAAATTGTCTCTCCCCTTTGTATTTATACATCCAGTTCCTCCAGTGGAAACACAATGATTCTATCTAGAATAACATGTTAAGACATTAATCACATGTATTTTTAGATGGAAATAAATCTCTTTGAACTCAGAAGAACTTATCTCCTACTTCCTACTCCCAATGAGCTGTTTATATGAAAAGATAAAACAGTATGTTTAAATGGTAATGTTTAAATTAAAAATAGATAAAACAATATATTATATTCCAATTCAAAGCATGTCTTATTTGTAGGCTCGGAAAATCAGTGATTTTTTTTTTATAAATAAACTTCCATACAGCAATATATGGAAGTTTATTTATAATATAGCAAGACTCTGTTTCACTGTGTATAAAGAATCCATGAAAAATCAAATTTTATTTGAAATGCATGGTAAATACAATATATAGAAATATAATGAGAATTTCATTTAGGAATTTTAGAGGAAAATTAATTCATCCTAAGGAGAATACACTTTCTACAGGCAAATAAAAGGAGACAAAGACAGAAGAAATGCATCTGGAAAGTATTTACTAAAAATGTACAGTTGAAATTGTAGCTCCTTTTATATAATATAGTACTTTATGTTAAATCCTACTACGGAAGCAAAGAAACTATTCCATAATAAAAGTTCATAATACATTCTGCTTACTTCTAGTAGGAATTTGTAAATTTAATTTAGTCATCAGATTTTGTTATTTTGTTTACTCCTGTGTGTACAAACTTTTGTGAAATATAAAGAATGTTTGCTTACTTTACCTACTTCATAACTTATATAACTTTGTATGATTTAGAATACAGTAGTATTCAACATAAATACATCATTTATGATGGATTAATAATTAAATTTCTGTGAAAGAACCACTAAAATTATTTGAACAGAACGCCATGCTATTTTAACTGAAGTGACTTATTAACTGAAAAGGAAATCCCACGTACAACACTGGAAAAGTCTGCATTGAAATTTTCAGACTGTGTTGAATGTTCTAATTTCTTTGAATCATGGGCTGCCGAAAGAAAGCAGTATCAGACAAGTCACATCGTACACCGATGCCTATACATGCAAAGCAGTAACCATGGGTATCCAGCAGACGTGATGTAAACAAGCAAGCTTTGTTTACTTGCATCAGTGGACTTCTGCAAGAAAGAGCGGGCTATCTTTTTGCTGTCTCTTATTATTAGAACGCGGGTTTGTTTTAACGCCGGGGGTGGGGGGGGGGGGAAGGACCCGGAAAGGATCCTTCATTAAGCGCATTTTACATTCATTTACGCCTAAGAACAGAATGTAAGAAGAGATAAGAACATCTAAGGAGGAAGCAGGGCGACCAAAGAGTTTCCTGAGGGAGGGACTGAGGCTGGGCATAGGAGAGAAGCAAAACGTGTAAGTGTAATGCGCCATCCACCTCAAAGGCATTTCAGCAGCATTCCGTACAAATAACGGGGTGGGCTGCGCGCGCCAGGGTTGTTATGATGCGCCTCGTGGCCAAGCGCTCACCTCCTCCCTCCTCCCCTCCCCCACGAGGTATTATTAATGTTACATAACCCCTTCTGCCTCCACAGAAGCCCGGCAGGCCCCGCCAACCGGACACACACCAGAACAGGACTTGTGTTTTAAGCCTCAGCTGGTTCGAAACAGGAGGAGGAGGAGGAGGAGGAAGAGGAGGAGCTGCGAAAACGAGGCAGCCGCCGCCGCCGCCTCCCTCCCCCCCCCCCCCCCCCCTGTCCCCCCGCCCCCCTAGGGCCGCCGCCCCCCCCCCCCCCCCCCCCCGCCTCTGTCAGCACGGTCGCGAGCCTGCCTACCTGCAGCAAAAAGCGAGGGTGGCGGGTGCCGGCCGTTTGGGACGGAAGCGGGTCTCCGGGCAGGGGGGCGCCCACGATCTCTCCTCCCTTGTCCCCCCTGCCGGGGGTGAGTCCTTCACGGCTGCGACGGTCTACCTGGGTTGTGGTTTGCGAAGGTTTTCGACTCCAGGCTAGCGGCGTTCTGAGAGATGCAGGCGGGGCGGCGGCTACATCGATAGTGGCTCTCCCGCTATTTAGGGAGGCGCCCGCCCGGGCAGCTCGGCCGCAGCATCCAGGGAGTTAGGAGCGGCGGCTGCTCTTTCCCGACTGAATTCACCCGGAGTGGCCCGGGGCCCAGCGCTCGGCTCGATTCCTGCCGCCGCCTTCGCCAGGTTCGTTATTGACTTTGAGGAAAACTCCCGACGTCACTGGCTCCCCCCCCTCCCCGCCGCCAGTGTCTCCCCCTCCAAGGCGGCGGCGGCGGCGGCGGCGGCAGCAGCAGTAACGTCGGCATCCCCCAGATCTCGCGAGAAGCACCAGCGTGCGGAATGGAGCGGGGGGGGGGTCTGCCAGACGGCGCGAGCAGGGAGAAGGTGGGGGCTGCCAGACAGAGCGAGAGAGCGGCGGGAAGGACGCGGGGAGGGAATGGGGGCGGAGGTGAAGGCTTGAATGAGAGAGGGAGGCGGCAGGCGGCGGGGCTGCTGACCAACCGACGGATACGTGTACAGCAAGGCAAAGATGAAAGGCAGCCGGGCGGGTGGGAAGAGCACAGTCTGCATAATAAGGGATACCTGTCGAGGGGTGGGGAAACCTGTCATGTTGACGTGCCGCAATAGGGTTGCTGTTTCGGACGTAGAAAAGTGGCCGAGAGTCTACCAGGCGGTTCGCTTTCCGAAACAGGAGTTAGGAATCTAAGTTTGCCCTGTCTAGTGTCAAATTTAAGAATCCCTTCCCAATCAAGAATGAGAAGTCAGTTGCCGGCCTTCATTAACTTTGCTTCAGCAACCTTTGCAGGACGGCCCGCCAACAGTATTTTTGACTTCAAAAAATCTCTGTAAACCTAAACTCACCTGCCACAAATTTATCTAGGGGTCTCTTGGAAAGGAAGTTATTCATCTGTAGCCAACTTTTTATTTTTGGTTGGAGTTCTCTGATAACATATGTTCTTTTTCAGACAGGTGAAACTATGTATGCACACACAAATATTGGAATAGGAATACATAATTTGCTTGTTCCTTGTTGCATTTATTTTAAAACTAATTTCACCCCAGCAAAAAGGATTCTGAAAAATAGATACCATGACAATTCGTATTCATAGAGTATTTTTCAGCATCAATGGATACTTAACAAATATTTAAGGGCTTAGCTGTCTTCTAATCTAAGCAATTTTGTCCTTCTGATCTAAATGGATGATATAATTGATGCTACTTGTAACAGTAGTTCATCAGCCTATCAAATAATTAACTTGCTTGCAGTTTGTGGCCATATGATATTTAGCTTGCTTAATTAAGACACTAGATTAAATAGATACGGTACTTTATTATTGTTGTGATGTATATTAAAAATATTTGTGTTGTATTTGTAATCTTAGTACCATTCTTCTCTATGGTTTATTATTTATTTACACTATTTCTATACTGCTGACTGTTGATAAAATGAAGCCTTTGTTTCATTAACCCTTTCTTAACTGATATTAGTTGTTTATTATGGAAGTATTGAACAGTGGCATTATTAGATCCCATCTTAGGCACAAAGCCAGCCGAGTCACCTTGGGCCAGTCTAGGAAGGAGGCAACAGCAATTCACTTCTGAAATCATGCCAAGAAAACCATAGGAACTAATCCAAGCAGTCCCCAGGAGTCAACATCAATTCAGAAGCACCAACATCTTCAGGACGCAGTTCTCTATTTCAAGTTCAGATTCTAGCTCAAGTTCCATGTTTATTTTCATAGGAGAAAAGAAAATGCAAAAAGCTTGTAGTATTTTCTTTAACATTGAGATATTGAAATGAAAAAAAAAATCAGCTGTTGGAAGAAATTAAATTCAGAAATTTAACTGTATACTGAACAGTAGAACCAATTATCTAGAGCAGGCTTGCACAACATGCAGCCTGCCAAGTAGCCTTGTATGGCCTGCTAGTATTTTTTAAAATACGGTCACCAAAACCACCATCATATGATTAATTACTGTTTCCTTAGTTTAGGGAGATTTACACGTTATTGCTTTAATCAATTTCAAACTTAAATTTGAAAAATGGAGATTATGTTCTTACTTAATTCTCAACCAGAACCCTCATCCTGACAGGTGTTTACATGTATTTCCTCCTCCTGCTGAATACCCATACATACTAAGTTTTTCTTCACCTGAGAATTTGAAGACTGCATAGCTTGTTTATTTCTCCCCCTATCTTCAAGTTAAAGCGGGTCTGAGGTAAAATTAATCCTAAATAATTCCAGTATCTTATGCAAATTTAAAAATCACTGAACTGATTCCAAAATAGTTACATTTGACCAAAAGAAGAAATGTGAAAGAAGGAAAAGGTAAGAAAATAAATTGGGTAAATTACTTAAAACAAATAAACCATCACACCTAGATATTTTCTATCTTAAAATTGTCAAAGAACCCAACTGCATGGCTGCATTGTTTACTTTCCTCTGTCATGTGATTTAATATTGTATATGCAATTCCTGGAGAATGTCATCCATCAGTTTGAAAGTAAGAATCATTAGTATGGCAACACACCAGATTAAGTTCAGGATACTAACATAGTTCTGACACTCATGCCCAAGTGGGTGAGTCAGGCATGACTTTGCTGACCTGAATGAGTCAAAATGAAGTCAAATGCCATGAAGAACAACTTGTCATTTGTCTATGATATCAGTCTGATTCTGTCATTGGCTCTGATTAGGTTTTACTGCTCCAAACAGTTGTAGAGCAGCAGCTGGAGGCCATGGCTACAAGGGCTTTTGCTCAGGGCTTTTGGCTGGTACATCAATTGTAAGTTTGGTAGTACTACTGCAAAGCTCTGATTCACATCATAGTCTCTCAGACTATTGCAACGGGCTGCCTTTGAAGATTATTTGGAAACGGGGGATTCTGTAACAGTTGTAAGTGTGAGGACTGGTAAGTCATTTTTGTGCTAGTGTAACTGAACAGTAGCTAAACTAATGGTTGTAAGATGACCTTCTGTACTGTATTTTTCACACCAAAATAACATGCATTTCTGAATTGTTTATGGAGGCAGATGTGGAAAAATCATATTTGCATTCCATCCCAAAGAGCCTGCTTGCCAAGATAAACACAGTTGTAAATCTTTCAAAAAAAACAAACCTAACCACAGTTGGAGTTTCTGGATGAGAAGCTCTCACTATAAGCAGTTCAATTTCCAATTGCTATTCCAATTTCAGTGAAAATATATAATGAATTTCTTCATAAAGTCTGCTAAATACTTATATTGCTGAGCATTCTACAGTAAATAGTGTTCAGAAATCATAAACTATATCTACAAAGCGAAGTCTGTACATGAGTCACGTCATCTTAAACACCTTAATTTATTGTTGACACACTTTTTTGCAGTTCAACTGTAGATTTCTCTGAAATGCTATTCCTTTTCAGACAAAGGAGAGAAAAAGGTGTGGCTATGAAATGTGGGCCCATAATTTATCTCCATAAAACAGCAAGAAAAAAGGCAAAATGAATTTTCTGTTTATCAATTAATCAATAAAACAATGAAAATATGAGAGTAGTCCTGTAAACAGCTAGAGTACTGAGACTGTGAGTTAGAATGTTGCCATACCAAATCAGAAGTCCAAACCTATGTTTTGGAGATAGACTGACAGACAGATGGACAGATAGCTAATTTTCATAATGCTTCCTGAGAAATCAATTAGTTTTTGCAAATATCTATTTTAATTATTTTATTTTTTGCTTTGAAAGCTAACATATACTGTAGTCCTTTATTTCTTCCTTTCAAGAAAAGTCTATGTTTATTCTTTTCTATCTATTGAAATTAAGAGATAGTGAAATTAAATTTGGAAACTATGTTTAAGGTTATATGAGAAGTACTCAAGTGAAATACTTTTTCCACCCTGGGATTTCCATCCACATCATATCCCAAAGATCCTCAATTCTTCAGAAAAGATTTTGACAGTACATAGAAAGAAGGAAACCATCATTTCCCCTTCTACTGACAAAGCTCTTCCACACATAGTGTTACATAGAAGGCTTAAACCATACTCATATTTCTATGTAATCTGTACTCTCATTTGAGCCCCATTGAGATAACTTTTCTAACTATATTGTTTAATATATAAAAACATTTTCAAGAACTACCTATATCTGGTATTCCATTGCTTCTAAGGTAGATCAAAACCAAGTTGAAAATCTTCTGGAGCTGCCATAGGATCTTTTAAATGAGATATTTTTGTGATTTGTTTTATTTCTGTATCTACCATACATAATATTTGTACTTTAAATGGTTTATAATAGAATCTACCATTTGTACTTATTTTTCAAGCTGAAAAGATGGTCAGTATGTTGATAAAAATTTAGTTTTGTGATAAAATAGTCTGAAAACCACTATGCTACAGGCACAGAGGTGGGGAGGAAATTTCATAAGTGGCATTGCTGGGATGTGAAGGTTCCAGAGAACGTTTAATGTAACATCTTGAAATTTCTGGATAGAGTTCCAAGATTGCCAAGGGAATTTTACTTAAGGATCCTTAGCTGTGTGCCAAGAGCAGAAGTCTACCCAGCAATATAGACTGTATAAAAGCTATGGTTTTGGAAGGGCCAAGTTTCCTTCAATTCTAGCTGGAAAGAAAGCAAATGTCTCTTTATCCATCCATCCTATGTCCAAATGCTTTATTTTGTGTCAAGATTTGATGGTTCTCATTCCCCCTAACCAATGCCTGATCAACCTGATATAGGAAGTTGGTTTGTGTGTAAGATGAATATCACATGAGTATGTGGAATTCTATTTAGTTTTGTTAGCTAATACATTTTCTTTTGATTAGATATTTTTTGTTTCTGCATATCCTAAAATAATTTTTAGGTGAGTGCTTGTTCCCATATCAATTCCCACTGTAGACGAGGATTGCACATCACTCCTGTTGTGCCCTAACCATAAACTAGGAATGAACCCATGGACAAATGGATTTGAATAGCAAGGAAAAGACTGGCATGTCTATATCCACAGGTAGCCCACAGATAATAAAAAAAGCATGGTTGGTAATAAGCAGGACAACTTGTCTGAATGCCTGTCAGCTTATCACTAGATCAGAAAGGAAATGGACCAGATGAGCTAATTCTACTTCATTATAAGGCTACATTAGCAGACTCTTACAAGTGTGAAAGTACAAATCCCTTGTCTCTTTTTTACAGCCTGACAAGAAGTTAGGGCAGACCTTTTCTATGTTTCTTTTTCT